AAGACTTTAAAGCTTTGTCTCAGCCACTGAGTAGCTGGGACTAGAGTTGGACCAGTTACAAATAGCCGGAATAAAAACACCTTTGTATGTGATATTTGTTCTCAACAATGTGTCATCTAAAAGAATGAACTTTTTTCTTCAAATGTAAATTTGAGCAATTACCTGCCCTTATAAAATGACAAATTTTACAAGGATGCTGGTGTGGTCCCCCTCCTCTCAGCAGAGGCTAACCTCTATTACATTGCCCATGGGCACACACCTCTTAAATGTTAGTGGCTGTACCTATATGCCCAATGCTCCATTTTCCTAGAACAAATTACCTTTCAAAGCACAAGAGGAAAGGCACCAGCCACTTTCCTCACCTCTAGCTGAGGTGGAGGAATTATATTCCAACAGCCTTACCAGGTATTTGGCAAAATCTATGCTATTCCAAAATGACTAGGCAAGATTTAGAATGAGCAATGCAAAATAGAGATTCATGCTTTTAGAATTATTTAGGCTTTAGATAACTTGTAGTCCCCTTACATGGAAGGCTTTATGTGAAAGGACTGGGCAAACATGTTCGTCATGGCTGAGAATGCGTACTCAGAAAGATCAGGCGTCGACCTTGGTGACGTCCTCAGAATCTGAGAATGACAATTACAGGCTAGGTAGGGGTTTCCTTGGTTGGACAGGACTCTCTGGGCATGTGGCTAGGAAGGGGGTAGTTGGGGAAATGAGAATAGGGGGAAATAAGGAGTCCTGCTATTTTTGAGGAGGGGCTATGAAGGATTATTTTAACCTGTGCCATAGCCACTAGCCACCTATGGCTGGTCCCAATTGAAATGTGCTGTAAGCATAAAAGCCACACTGGGTTTTGAGGATTTAGTATGAAAAAAAAGAACATATAACATCTTATAAATAACATTAGGTTGATTATATGTTGAAAGTGCATGTGAAATGCTAGTATTTGGGGAGTATTGGATTACAGAAGCTGTTATTAAAATTGATTTCCCTTGTCTCTCTTTATTTTTTGAATGTGGCTTCTTGAAATTTTAAAATTACACATGGCTTACATTGTATTTCTAGTGGACAGTGCTGCTTTATATCCACGTCACATGGTAGAATTATGGCACGTGTTTACTTTCTTGTGTTTCCTATGTTTTTCAAACTGAAAATATGAGAAACAGCCTCCGTATGTCTTTGAGGAACAAGTACATATCTTGGATTTTGAAGCTGAGCAAGCAGGTGTCCTTGTTATATAGCACATTGGCAGCTAAACTTTTCTGAGACTCAACTTCATCTGTAAAATGAAGATAGTAGCAATTTTGATCTTATCAGGTCATTACCAGAAGTGAGAAATGCATAGGAAATTAGCAGAGGGTGCTTGGCGCAGAGGGTGCCTGGTGCGTAAGGAAAACTCAATAAATATTTGGCGTTATTCTTGGTTATATCTCAAGACCTGTCCAATGCCTAATCTTTAATCCCAGTTCATTTCTAACTCAGCTCCTTGTTTTTCTCATTTTCTGGGTTTGTATTTGGTGTAATATCTACTTCTACACCCAGAAAGCAGAGATTTCCATTCTTTTTCTTATAATTGAAGAACCTCGGGCCTGGTTCCCTATGTTCTGCTCCTTGTTCAGACTAAGGTGTTTCTCAGTCACCTACTTTAGCTCATTTTGATTTCAGAGCAAGAAGTCTATGGTGGCTGAAACTGCAAACCAGGCCACAGCTCTCCATCAGCCCCTGTCCCTTGCCTCACAGCGGGATGCTTATGGGGTTTTGTTTGTTTTTTTTACTAAACTCTGCTTTTTTGATGGGATTATCAATCAAGGGCATTTTATGCCAGGCAAAAGGCGTGAAGGGAACAGAAGAATAAGGGTCATGTAAATAAAAGATCAATGGAACAGAAGCAAAGACAGGGCAGAAAAGCACTTTTATAACTTCTCTCCCCTTGTCCACAGCCCTGCCTTCTTTTCTCACTGTCTTTCTTGTGCTGGCTTTAAAAGTTGTGCTATGTTCAAGCTGCAGTAAGTACAAGCTGGTTCTTACTGCCTTTCTAGATTCTTATCACCTCCTACAGTGTAGCACATATCTAAACCTTGTGCTCAGTTCCCATAGTCTAGGAAGTAAGTCCTTAGATGAAGATGGTTGTACTTGTTCTCTGAAATTCAGTGGCAGGTAAGAAAAAAGATTTTAAACTTTGTGAAGACATAGCTTCCATAAGAATGGTGAGCTTCCTCGATCCTTCACAATTAATGAGATGAACCTTTCAGTCAGAGCTGCATGGGATAAAAACAAAGAAATGACTTAAGAGCACACTTGGAATAGCACAGATGGCTGGAAGTGCCTGTGCTTCTGTAAACAGTGAAAAAAGTCCCCAATTTCCTCTGAAAGTATTTCTTTAAATCAGAAAAATGTGGATTTGTGTTCCCATCCAGCAGTTGTAACAAGGTGATTCAGTGTATACTCTTGACTTAAGATGATGTTTTTGCCTTTTCATCATATCAGTATGTAACTGCCTGTTTTATTTTTAGATTTACTGAAAGTTCTCAGGGTAGCAAATTCAAAGGAAAGGAATAAGCAAATTGGGTTGTATTTCAAGCTTGGGCTGAGGTTTGATGAGAAAATCCCTTGAAAATTAACAGGGAAGCAGAGTTCCTAGGGCCCTCTTTGCTGACAGCTAGGACTCGCAGAGGGTTTGTCGTTGGGGGAGCTGGGTTATTTCAGTGCCAGAGAACACACCTAAGGCCCCTCCACCGCCAGGCAAGGGATGATCAGGCAAGTGCATGTGGGAGGGCTGGCTCTGGGTGCTTAAACATGGTTGTTTTTCCTGGAGCATTTATTAACGAAATATTTATTGTCGATCAGAGGTAGGAAGGGGCCATTGCCAACAAGCACTTCCCTGTGGTTTTCTAGGAAATCAGAGGGTTTGAAAATGTGTATTTTCCTTATTATAGTATTCAAATTTAGGAGAGAGGGGAAGCATTTCTGGGAATCTAAAACACGGCTTTAAGATATCAGTACTGCTCACTTGCACTCTGATTTCTTGCCCAGCCCCACCCCACTCCACCCCACCCTACTCATTCCCTGAGAGAAGAGCGCAAATGTACTGCTGATTTCTGATCTGACATCTCTTTGTTTTTTTGGGGGGGCGGTTTGGGGGGGTGGTTTTGGGGGGGGTGGTTTTTTGGGGGGGGTCACTGTAGAATAAGTGCTCATGGAACTTGTCATAGCAGTTGTCTGTGACCTATTAGGATCTTTTTCTGTCATAGGTCATAGAAATAGTAATGATCATGTAAGTTGGAATGCAGACATGTGGGCATTCCAACATATTTGCTCCTTGGAGTGGGGCACTGAGTCATGTCTGTTTAGAATCTGATCATAGCTGGGCTGTTGCCACTATAGCTTTAGTGCTACAAGGGCAATGAGCCTGTTATTGGCTGAACTTGAAGGAAGTTTTATATTTTCCATTGTGTTTGAATAATTGTCCTATTTCAAAACATTTCAAAAGAAATAGAAGCACTGTTGCAGATATGACATTATAATTACAGGTGTGTACACCTAGTAAATCTATGTCAAAAAAGCATTCTCAGTGACAGGCTAGTCCTGATTTTGCTTCCTTGCAAAGGGAATGCAAGATAAATGTCACTAAATATGCTTCTTGGTTACTACTTTCATTTGTCTTGAAAATATCATTGTGTCTTCTTTATGTGGACATTCTTTAAAATGCAAACGTTGTTTTATCAGATATGTCTGTGCTATATACACCTATTTAAAAAAACAAAGACATAACTAGACTAATGGACTACATAAAAGCTTTCTGTATTATAAAATACAGAAACAACAGTGAAAACATTTTTTTTAATTAACAGGCATTAACAAGTATAAACTGTCTAAAGCATTTAATGGTCTTTAACACAGTTAACTCCCCTAGCCCTGAAACGGTGTTAAATTCTTTTTTTGCTAGTGGCAAAAGCAGCTGTCAAACACAACATTGAAAAACTGGTACCATTTTCTGGCCAGTAAGTACAGAACTGAGGGGCTAAATACTGTGCGGTTTTCATTGCTGTTCTCATGCTGTATTTTTGTTTCTCCCCCCGCTCCTGCCTGCTCAGGGCTGATCGTGGTGACACTGGCGATCTGCTGGCTACCTAACCAGGTTCGTAGGATCATGGCTGCCTCCAGACCCAAGCACGACTGGACGAGGTCCTACTTCCAGGCCTACATGACACTCCTCCCTTTCTCAGATACCTTCTTCTACCTGAGCTCGGTTGTCAACCCCCTGCTGTACAATGTATCCTCGCAGCAGTTCCGCAGGGTGTTTTGGCAGGTGCTGCGCTGCCACCTGACCCTGCAGCACGCCAACCAGGAGAGGCGCCTGCGCAGCTTAGCTTCTTCTACCACGGACAGCGCCCGCTCTGCACACCGCCCACTGATCTTCATTGCTTCCAGGCAAAATTCCTCTGCAAGGAGAACTAACAAGGTTTTTTTAAGCACTTTTCAGAGCGAGGCCCAAGCCAAGTCCGAGTCTAAGACCCAGCAATTGAGTCCAGAGTCGCCAGAGTCCGAATGGGAGACGAAACCAGCCGGTTCTGCAGCAGAGAGTGGGTTTCAGGAGCATGAAGTGTGAATGTCAAATAAAGTCTCAAGTGCTAACCAGCCCTCCCCTGATGAAAACAACATCACCCTCACAGAGCAGTGACAAAATAATCTGTTCCCCATCAGGGACAGGAGTGGAAGCCAGCAGCCTTGGGAAAGGCCGATGCCCAATTAAATGTCTTCCACGGGCTGATTCTGCCACCTTGACTGGTTGCAGATGGGGGAACTTTGAATTCATCCTCTCCCTTCTTCTAAGTACACACTGAAAATTCAGTCTGACTGAATTTATTCAGAGCTGACAAAAGTGTTTTATATTGAACTCTTTCATTATTTGCAAAGAAACTAAAAGAAAGAGAATGCAGACTCCCTACCCAGACTTAAAGGACACCCAGAAGATCTCATGGAGCAGGGGAGAGAGGATGAGAAGAATAATGCAGGAGGGGCTGGCATCGCATTCAGCAGTGTGCCAAGAGGAGGGCTAATTTGAGGAGCAGGAAGGTGGTGGGGAGGCCTGGCCGGGGGGCCGAGGCAGAGCTGCTCCTTTTCTTGGGTCGGGGCCCATTGCACAGAGGGGTGTTACAGCAGCTGATGCACACCGAGTTCAGTTTCCCTGGGGAGCAGAAGGACTGGTACCCAGCTGAGGCGATGAGACAGGCTGCCGATGATGCACAGGACTTGCGGTACATGATTCCTGCAACACAGACCCAAAGAGCTGGGTTAACCCACACTGGCCAACAGACGGCACCTCTCTGAGCTCAGGTCCCAATGTGCCCTTTCTTCCTCCTCTCAGAGCCCAGAGACTTGGTATGGCCAACGAGGTGCTTTTGGTTGTTTTGCTGAGCCCTCCAAAGTACATGAGCTATACAGTCAGGAAGGCAGTCATCATTTTACCACTTTTGACAGAATTGTTCCAAAAGCTATATGAGATGCAATGTCAGCAAATAAAGAGTTGTCAAAACCAAAGTCCACTCTTTGAAAAGTAAGAATTCACACTGTGTACTGGGTACAGAGCTTTTTACCTTTTTTTCCAGAGGACCACAAGCTGTGTGTGTAGATCTCATCTCTATTATTACTTTGTAGGTGACCACAGAGAGATGGCTCTCAACTATGTATTTATTAAATCATGGAATTTTCTGAATAAATCAGATCCCTACTGAGTGGGCCCTGATTTTTCCCAGGTTTCAAGGGATCTACTGGGTTAAGTGAGAGGGTAGACTGGCTTACAGTGTGTACAGAATAGCCTCATTGTCATCAAAGAAGCTTTGCCCATAGAACACATGGTCATTTTCCCACTCAGCATCCCATTGCTAACACTTAACACGCACCATGTGGTCATATAAAGGAGTTTCCTGAGGATACTGTTGGGCCAATCTTAAGGAGTAGATGTGTCATGTCCAAATGGTAGCACAGCAATCAAATTAGGGTGTCTTGGATAATCATATGACATCTTAAAGCTGGAAATTTGCTCAATCCAAATGATGACAGCTAAACTTAAGTGCTTTCCTGCATGCGAGGCACTCCTAGATCACTTACTACCTACAAGGGAGGTCCCCATGATCATCCCTGTCTTACAGATGGGTGCCTAAGGCAAGAAAGATATAGTTAACTTATCCAAAGTCACATGGCTAAAAAGTAGGTCATGTGGGACTTGAACCTAGTATTCTTGGCTCCATGCCATCAAGTCTATATTCCTTTATTGCAAAGTAGATAGCCAGTAAACCACAAAAAATGGGTTTTTGTTTTGTTTTCTTTTTGGGGGAGGAGACTTCACTCTGAAGATAGCTTTTGGGGTATGTTGTGTGTGTGTATGTGGCTGTTACGTATCGATGATCTCTTTATTGAGCTATAATAAACCAAATTATTATTTTTAGTCAAATAATATGTAATACTAGATGGGATCCTTATTTTTGGCCAAATGATAGGTAACACTAAAGTCATACCTGGAAGTGAATTGCTTTAGCCTCTTTGCTGCCCTGCACAGCTGAGAGCTACAATCCAGTAGCAGCCAGGGCACCTTCCTCCCTGATTCCCTGCGGGTACGTGTTTGCAGGCATCGCTTTGGTTTGAAGCTCCCTTTCCCCGCTTCAGAAGAGCTGCTTCGGGTGCTGGAGAAAGTATTGACTTAAACTGTGTAAAACTTCCAAGAAGGAGGTAAAGAAATACCTTTGATTTGCATTAAAACATAATTTTTTCATTTTTTCCATGTACGTTTGTAAGGATTGACTTTCTAACACCATTAGAAAATATTGGCATTAGCTGCTCTGGTAGGATTATGCCTGTGGACAGAGTATGTGTGCAGGGGGAGAGAAGAGACACCGTTTGATTTCTAAGGAACATGCTACATACTATAAACAGGTGTTGCCCATTCATAAATTTCCCATGGTCACTGCGTTTTCTATCAATTGCCCATTTTAGGATATTAAGTTTTTCTCACTATCTTTTTGTTCTTAAATATTAAAAGCACTAACTATCATTTGCCAGTTCAACTTCAGTAAACTTTTTTCCCTTAAGTGTGTTTTAAAAATTCAAAAATATTTATTGAATATATTTTTCACTGTAAAAAACATTCAGACATTCAGATAAGGTGAAAGTGTCCCTTGATGATCCCTTCCAACTGCAGGTTCTTATCAGTTTTGGACAACTCCTTCCAGGCCTGTTTCTATACATTTACATATGTAACCATGGATAAATAAAGTCTGTATGTGTGTGTGCACACACATGCAAGCATGCCCCCACATATGCACACACTTGTTAACAGCATCACATCCTATATGCTGTTATGCAATTTGCATTTTTACTTAGTGACATGACTAAGGATTTACTTTTAAGTCTGACTCTGCAAGGCTAAGCATAAGTGATGAAGTCAGTTAGTTATATAATGCATAAGGGGAGCCCTGAATTTTGCAACTGCTACCCAGGGGACACCTCTAGATTGCCTGATTCTGGTGGCCACTAAGGCTTAATACTTGTGGTCTCCAGGACTGTATATGTTTGCATTCTTTAAGAGCCCCGTGAGGGTCAGGTTCCCAATCTAGGGGCTGACTAAGCTCCTCCTCTCTGAGATACTGATTGTGACACATCTTAAACTACTGGGAGCTATTAAAAATGAAACTGGTGGCTTGGGCAATCACAAAGGTTTGAGAAATAACCAAGGGCTAGGGCAGGTTTGAACGATAAGTTTCATCTCCTATACAAGGCCAACCCTTCAAAACAAGGAGACGTGGCTGTTTCACCTAAATCCTAGAAACTAACACAGAGAATCAAGCAAAATGAAGAAACAAAGGAATATGTTCCAAACAAATGAAAAAAATAAAACTTCAGGAAAACAAAAACCTTAAAGAGATGAAGATAAATCATTTACCTGACAAAGAGTTCAAAGTAATGGTCATAAGAAGATTCACTGAACTAAGGAGAAGAATGAATGAATACAGTGAGTACTTCAACAAAGAGACTGAAAGAAAATACCAAAGAAAAGTCACAGAAGTGGTGAACACAATACACTAGAGGGGTTCAGCAGCAGACTAGGAAAAAGAGTCAGGTCAGTCAGTTCAAAGACAGGGCAATAGAACTCACCAGATTGGAGTAACCAAAAGAAAAAAAAGAATAAAGAAAAGTGAAGATAGCTTAAAGGACAACATCAAGCAGACTAACATTCACATTACACAAGTTCCAGAATAGATGAAAGAGAAGAAGAGGCAGAAAATTTACTTGAACAAGCACTGACTGAAAACTCCCCTAACCTGGGGAAGAAAACAGACGTCCAGATCCAGGAAACTCAGAAAGTTCCAAATAAGAAGAACTCAAAGAGACACATACCAAGGTACATTACAATTAAAATGTCGAAAGTTAAAAACATGGAGAGAAGCTGAAAAGTAGAAAGAGAAAAACTTGTTATGTACAAGGGAACTTCCATAAGACTATCAAATTTTTCAGCAGAAACTTTCCAGGCCAAAAGGAAGTGGCATAATATCTTCATAGTGCTAAAAGAAAATAAGCAAACAAAAAACCCTTCCAACCAAGAATATCCTACCTGGCAAAGTTATTACAAAGTGAAAGAGTGATAAATATGTTTAAAAAGAAAAACAGTTTTCCAGACAAGTAAAAGCTAAAGGAGTTTCATCACCACTAGACCAGAATTATTGATACAAGAAATGCTAATGGGACTTATTTAAGCTGAAAAGAAAGTATGCTAACCCATTCACAGGCTTTCTAACAAGAACTCTCATTGCTAAAGCTAAATATATAGTAAAGTTAGTGGATTAATCATTTAAAAAGCAAAGGTAGTATGAAGGTTAAAAGACAAATGTAGTAAAAAGAAATAACTACAAAAAACTAGTTAAGAAATACACAAGATAAAAAGATGTAAAATGTGAAAACAAAAACATAAAATGTGAGGGGGAGAATAGAAATGTACAGCTCTAGGATGCATTCAAACTTAAGTTGTGATGAACTTCTGATAAAATATGATGAACTGTGATAAAATATACTGTTGTAAATATTAGTTGTTATATGTAGGCCTTATGTTAACCACAAAAAACCCCCCCAAAAAAACCTGTAGTAGGTACACAAAAGATAATGAGAAAGGAATCTAAGCATACCACTAAAAGACGCCATGAAACCACAAAGGAAGAGAGCTAGAAAATAAGAAGGGGCCAGAGGAACTACAAAACAGAAAACAATGAACAAAATGGCAATAAGTACATACCTATCGATAATTACTTTAAATGTAAATGGACTAAATTCTCCAATTAACAGTAAGAGTGACTAAATGGATTTAAAAAACAAAAAACAAGACCCATCCATAGGCTGCCTACAAGAAGGACATTTCAGATGTAAGGACACATACAGATTGTGAAGGGGCAGGAAAAGATATTCCATGCAAATGGAAGCCAAAAGAAAGCTGGGATAGCTATACTTATGTCAGACAAAATGGACTTTAAAACAAAGACTGTAATAAGAGACAAATTATATATTATTAAATAATGGTGAAGGGGCAGTCCAACAAGAGAACACAGCATTTGAAAATATTTTTGGACCCAGTGTATTAGGAGCAGCTAAATATTAGGTTGGCCAAAAAATTTGTATGGTTTTTTCTGTAAAATAGAAGACACATTTTTCAATTTCAACAATAACTTTATTGATTTCGATATTTTAAAATTTCCCCTGTGGTATAACAATGATTGTTCTCAATTAATGTCTCCATTTGATCACTATATACTTCAACTGGCCTACCTGACCATGGAGCATCATCCAGCAAGAAATCTCTAGCATGAAACTTTGCAAACCACTTTTGACATGTTTGATCAGTCACAGCACCTTCTCCATATACTGAATAAATCTTTTTTTTTTTTTGCATTTCAGTTGCATTTTTACCATTCTTGAAATAATAAAGTATAATATGCCAAAAATGTTGCTTATTTTCTTCTATCTTCAATATTAAAATGGCTACACAAAAATTCATCAGTTTTGATGAGTTTTTTTTAAAAATGCATGCTGAAATGACAGCTGTCACAATACAGTTTAACAAAATTGTCTCGAATGAAGTCCAAGACAACTAAGTACTGCTAAAGCCATGTTATGGAAAAAACCAAATGAACTTTTGGTCAACCTAATATATAGGGTCCAGCAGAAGTAACACCTGCTTGAGTGTGGTTGGTAGGATAATAATGTAGGTATAATAATTTATAGTTT